ACACAAGTTGGCCACGAATAATCATCCTTTTTTTGTGACTTAAATTTGACTAATCGAAACCAAAGGAAACACTCTCAATATTCAAATAAAGAATATGGATAATTAAGCTGTTAAGGCATTTGTGATAATTAAGATGTAGCAATGGCATCAAATTGGGTAGTTTGAACATGTCTCGAAAGTCCCATTCAAGTTAAAGCTACACGTGTAACACGTCCTTTCCAATTTCTGCATAAACATCTGTCAAGACACAGAACTCAACTGTACCTGAAAGTGAACAGATTGATTTTTGCGAGCATTGTCCCTAAGCCAGTTAATGGCTAGAGGGAGTGAAGTGAAAACTGTACTGTTCTCAGAATTAGTAGCGCCTTTCTCTGGATCATCGACAATTGCTTCCCAGGTTAAGTCTGCATTCTTCACTTCTCGTCCTGTAAAATTTGCAACGATATGAAATTTATTTGCAGTAGCATCAACATCCATGGGCGCATCCAATCTTTGAAAGGACATTAACAGAGCATCAATGAGAAAACACAAACAAGTTAACTTGATTCCTCTAGAATTATAGCTTATTCATGAACTCTGATAAATAAGGTCTAGGCAGAAAAGTTCAGATATCCATCACATGAATTGGGAAAACAGTAACAATAACATACACAATTACAGACATTTTATATTCCTGAAGAGATTTTCTACAGTTAGACACAGGTAATGCAACCTCAGACACACACTCATACATACTCAAATGAATGACATCATGATCAAATGATTCTTTAAGATAACAAATTTAAACTTGATCGTGACAAAATGACTGAATAATGGTAAGTGCGAACACTCTATTATGATAATTTTTTTCGGAACACAATCTGTTGGGCTCCACATAAAGGAAGGTTTTCAAGTGAACCAAACACAAGTACAGAAAATTAAAATCACCTTTTTCACCATGAATGAGGCTTTCCCATAATTTCTGAAGAGTTATCTGCCATGACACGTCGACTTGAGTGTCAGCTGAGGGTGAGGCAACATTACCCACCTTGTAATACACTGATGTGTTTGGAACAAATAAGGCCTTTTTAAAGTAGACTCCTGAAAGCACCAATTTAATAAAACATTAGAAAAGGGTGCCTTGGCTTGTTTTTTATCTATTTATTTTCTTTTCCTTTCCTTCTTTTATTTTTCTTCTGGTGGTGGGAAGTGTGTGTGTGTTGTAAACAACTTGTCTATTCTGCACACTTTGAACTCTATTAGAAATCCAATTACCATGACTGGCACATGCACTCATTAGGCGTGGAAGAAGCAATTGAGGGTCCCTCACTGACATACAATTGAACAACAATATCTGCACAGTTGCAAGCAAATTTAGTACTATCATCCAGTAGACACTCTTTGATTGTGGAAAGAATACAGAATTAAGTTTGACCATAAAGTACATAACATTGTCCACCAAGAGACAGCTTGTAAAACATTTTAAGCGTAATCCATCACTGGACAAGAAAAACAAGGGCAGTTGTCCCCTCTAGCATCTATGAAGAGCAGGCTCACTCATCCAAATGACGCATGCATTTGGTTAAAGAAAATAGAACAATAATGCAAGCCAGCAATTTCATTTAGAGGTATGTGCCAAAGTTGGCACATAGAATTGAAAGCAATTTGTTTCATATAAATGAAAGCTCTAATCAGTAATTAAAAATCGCTCCTTCCGATCTGCATTCCATAAACCCAGTTATCATCAGCTTCCAGGATTTGCGAACAAGTAGTCAAAACTAACATATACTTAACAATTGCTTACCATGATTTTGATGCAAAATTAAATAATTTTCGGACGTTTTCTTGTGGACTGAAGTCATGTGTTTCCATATAACAAATAGAACTAGATCTCTATATCAACTGATCAATAAGATATTAACTGTGTTGAAGTGACATTGACAGAGGTATATCCTGCTTATACACAGTTCCACCCATTATAATTCTTTAAAAATTCATGCCCACAGTTCCTTCTTGCAAACAATTTCTCAATAGGTTATTGAATCACCATGCCAAACCTATACGTGAATGTTATTAACACGAACTTTGAAGAGTTTTCTTTGTTAAATAACACTGTGACCGATCATATAAGAATAGGTAGAGTTTAGGTGTTCTCATAATTCGATTCAGCTAATTTGCTTATGCAAGATTTCATCAATTCTCAAAACTGAAGTTCTGATTAGTCAAACTCCATTGGTGTTAGAGAAAATTCAACATCTACTTCTCAGGATGAGCAGATGTCTAAATTGAACTGATTTTAATCTGCATAAAAAGATTGCTCACTCTCAAAATTGCAAAAAATCGTTGAGACGTTGAATCATGAAACACTCAATATACTTGCACAAACGAATTAACTTTCTGAAACTTCTTTAGAATAAAAGTAGTATTCTACTAAGAATATCTAACCTGCATAAATAGACTGCTCACTCTCAAAATTGCCAAAAATCGTTGAGACGTTGAATCATGAAACACTCAATATACTTAATTTTCTGAAACTTCTTTAGAATAAAAGTAGTATTCTAACAAGAATATCTAACCTGAGTTGAATGTTTTCTGAGAGGCCCACTCTCTCCTGATTCATGTGCTCTCCGTGAGTCACTGTAAGCCTGGCTAAAAGAAGATCTATAATCTTCCTTGGTCGCAAGGCAAAACCATTTTGCACATACCTCCATGCTCTCTGGACTATGGGCACCATCCAGGTAGAATACAAGATCACCTGAGCTGTCACTCTCAATGAACTGATCGGAGACAATTTGAGCACGCCCTTGCAAAGAAGCAGTAGCTAATCCCCTGATAAACTCTTCAGGCAGAGAGGTCTGCTTACACGATGCAAAACAGAAGAACACTTGAGTAAGTACAGGGATGAAATAGTAATAACATAAAGCCCAATTGACTAGAGCTTACAGTCTGGTTTAGGTAGTTGACTCCAACATGACCAGATCTATGAAGCCAAGTTGTGCAGAGTGCAATTGCAAGGCCCGCATTAATATATTGGTGCTCACCCTCAAGCCCAAGATGCAGACCGCTTAGCAGGCTAGGATCCAAAGGAGCAACCACTTGAAGATTTACCTGCTTGCAATATAAAGTAATAGCTTGCTCAGTGATTATATTAGCTCAGAGATAACAAAGACAAACAAAGTATGGCTAGAAATATCTTGAGCAACATCTCAGAAATGTAAAACACCATCATAAAAACCAAGCAAATGGTCATTCCTTAAGGGTATCCAAGTTATCAACCATTTCAAATAATATGGATGGTGAAGATTAGTTGTGAAATTTATGGCTAATTGCTTATCCAGAATCACCTTTTTCATCCAATGCAATTTGCTCTTGATAAATGGGTCTGGGTAGAACTCATATCCAAAAGCTAGTTCAAAGAGTGAGGGTGTCCAACCCAATTTATACACAACAACAGCCTAAGAAGTAATAACTAATTGACGTGGGATAAACATAACTTCTAATACCAGCCCTCATGCGTTGTCGGCCAATCCAGGTGGATTAGGTCCAAAACCCACATCGCCTCCAGACAAACAAACAGACATGGGTGCTCGGATACCATAAAAAACGAGACTGGTTAGAAGTCATCCTGAAAATTGAACTCAAAGGGAGAGGGTGCACAACCTACACTTAATCACAATAACATCTTAATAACTAATCGATCTCTGAAGAAATTTCCTCAAGAAAATACAGGTCCCTCAATCTTATTAGTCACATAATTTCACACCTTTGAATTCTTATGTTATAAACAATTAGTGATTGTTCATGGTAAAAGCAACCACTTGTCCTTAGTAAGTTAAAACTCAGGCATTACCTTCAAGATACGTGATGCATCTAATAGCTGAGACTAAACTCACAATTCTAATTGAGCATATAACTAAATTTAGTCGGGAGAAACTTTAACTTACATCCATCTGTGATGCCTTCTGTTCTAGTACTGCCATGGCTTCATCTGGCTGTGGTACAGTAAAGGCTGGAACACCACTCTAGTTGAAGGAACCAAAAGCAAAAACAATGGCATGAAAAAGGAAATTGACTTGTTTAAAATTGGGAGGAGTGGAGGGATGGGGTAAGAATCAAATAAACTTTAGACCCAGGTCAAAGTACTAAACAGAATCAAAGAAACTGAAAAACTCAAGTCACAGTACTAATCAACACGCTCCAGAAGGATGAGCAAAACCACTTGCATTACAATGTTGGTTTTTAGTGATCCAAACATTTGACCACTCCATGGATTAGTGAACATGTAAAAAGGAACATGTGAATTATCAAACCTTAAAAATCCCAGCCTTTTCGCCAGCAATTTGTCCAAGTGTATTACCTGTGCAAGTTTATATATATATATAAATGTGCTAACATAGAAATATCTCCATTGGAGAATAAATAACATAGATCTCATTGGTAAAGTCAAGAAAATCCGCTCTAGATACAAAAGATAGGATGTTGGTAAGCAAAAAGAATAAAAGAAAAACAGCAAACGCAGGCGGATTACATTGTCAGTTTCAGTTTTGAGATCAACCTGGTAGTTGGGCACATAAAAGACCCAGAAAATTATCATTAAACCAAACTCCATTCACAGCTTTCATCAATTTATGATTGAGTTACTAAAATTTCCTGAAGTTTTAAACTAATTACAAAATGATCAAGTTGTTTAGAATATTTTATAGCTCCTTGATAATCGGTTTTAATTTACAAACTGCACTTAAATATGAGAGTAGGGTAAACTATGCCCAGCCACCTCGCACAAAGACACACCGGACACGCATAATATTTTAACACCTCGCACTCCTTTCAACAAATGAAAATGTCCAGTCCCTAGTTGTTCATGCCAAAATTTAAGCTATCTATACAATAGACACGATGTTGACATTTCGATCACTAGAAAAGTATTGCCAGATTCCTCAACCAAATACTCAAATCAGACAGTTACCTAAATATCATGGAGAGTGTTAGAAGTTTATGTTTATCCAACATCGAATAGTTACTGTTATTGTGTATAAGTGTGGGTTGGGCACCCTCCCTTTGAGCTGGCTTTTGGGGTTGAGCCCTACCCATGCCCATTTATGAGGGTATCAGAGCACCCAAGTTTTGTTTGTTTGGAGACGATGTTGGGTATAGAATCGGCCTATTTGTATTGGCATGCAACAAGTGAGGGCAGGTGTTAGAAGTTTAGGTTAGTCCCAAAATCGATGGATCTTTAATTGTGTGTAAGTGTGGTTTGGGCACTCTCCCCCTTTGAGCTAGCTTTTAGGGATGAGTTCTGCCCAGTCCCATTTATCAAAGAGAAAGCACTAACCAAGAATTTCCATGTGGTCATACCCGAGAGAAGCTATACCACAAACAATTGGTTTCTCGACCTGAAAATAACAGTCATAACGATTTTAGAGATCTAGAAACCTTCTTACAGGAAATCCATTCTTAAATATGACAATAATGTTGTTTCTCAATGAGTATCCTACCACATTTGTAGCATCAAATTTTCCTCCTAAACCAACTTCCAAAATGACAACTTCTACCTGGATACAATAGTTTGAAAATTACTACTTAATTGTAGAAAACCAACTAAGCTGAGTAAAATACTACAGATATCAGCATACTATTACCTGCTCAGCTGAAAAAATCTTGAAGGCAAGCAAGGCAAGGAAACGAAAATATGTTGGCATGGGTATCTCATCAGAAGCTCCTCCCTACATCACGAAAATAACATTGATAAGGAATAACGAAGCCCAAGCGGGCCCATCAGTAGCAGAGGATCAATAACACATGTCAATAAACCAGAGCACAGATTTCCATCTTAATTCATCCAAAACATGCTATAGAGAATTAATTAATCACAATCAAACAGTAGGTTAGTCAATATATTCGTCAGTGCTTTAATAAATTTTACATCTGCCTGAAAGTTAGACTTGGCACTTCAACACCATGATTGCTAAAGTATTATCTTATCAAGCAGAGGATTACCTATTTTGGAGAGGGGTTAACTCAGCTGTTCAGACACATGATGTTTGAACAAAAAATCCACCTAAACAAAGGATGCCATCTGAACTTTCAGCCTACGTTCAACAAAAAGAAATGTTTCTCTGGCTTTTATAGTTTCATTAAATGTTTTCACAATTTAAGCTCTAACCATTTAACTGGCACCTTTGGAGGTAAAAACTCATAAAAATGACACTAAATGTACTCATTCATCAGATTTTATACAATGCCAACGGCTGCTTCAGAGACATGACAGCTGAATAAAGGTTACGACTTCCAAGCATCTAATAAGAGACTAATTTGTATTACAATCATGAAAATTTATACTGCTTTTTTTTTTTTTTTCTTCTCAAGACTGCCCACACACGATTTTTATCAATCAGATCACATATTAATACACACACACGTGGGTGGGTGTTAATCCAAAGGTTAAAGAACCGGTGTGGGCAGTAGGTGAAATTCACCTGTAAGAACCATTATGACAGAATAATATTGCAGAATAAAGCACTGAACATACCTTCAGTCGATCCCAACACCACCAGAAGTATGCCAAAAACTTCTCTTCAGGAATATCTAAACTGAAAAATAAAAAACAAACGAACAAACAAACAAATCAGTAAAAAGTTGATCTGATTGCATACTTTTATATTTGACCCCGTCTTAAAGAATATGCAAGCAGATACAAAGTGAAAACCCTCTCTAATATGTTGCGAGGCAAACATTCTACTCTTCTGCCATTTATAAGCACATACCCGTCCAACCTAAATCTTTCTCGAACATCAATGAGGTGAGGGGAAGTGAACAGTCCCGTACGGAAACCACAATTGCGCAGAATAGATTCTGCGAAAGTGCAAGTTGACCCCTTCATAGTCAGGTACATGAAATAAGATCCCTATCAGTTCCTTGAAACAAAATAGGCAGTTCTCTGAAGCAACTTTAGTATCCAAATCAACTCAAGAATCAACAAAATAGATCACCAAGACTTCCAGCAACTCAAAGTCCAAGAAACTCAAGATGCTAATTATTAATTAAGTTCATTTGTCCACCTTTCCTTTGGTGCCGGCAACGTGAATAACCTTCATCTCTTTTATCTTCTCCTCTAGTTCCAATATCTACATTTCACCAAACATAGAAGATAAGGGGAACACACAAAAGACTAAATACGAGAAAATGTGTGTGTGTGTGTGTGCACGTGTTATCCCTTCCACACAAATCGATATGGAATAGAATTGGATACGAGAAAACAGATGTACCTTCAGATAATCAAACAACAAGTCAAAACGATCGCCTTTGTTTTTCTTATCAGCACGACTCCGTTTTGTTATCAGTGAAGACAAAGCGTCCATCGCTTCATCATACTTGGACACCGCTGAATTTTCTGATCCATTTCCAACTTTAAAAATGCCCAATAAAATCAGAACCACCATGTATACAGATATATCACAGTAATAAATATACATATTACAGTAATCGGCAGAAATGCGTCAGTTCAGAAAAACACTTGACCAACTTCAAATGAGCATGAAGCAGTATTCATAACATGGAAACAAGCAGACAGACAGGATTTTCCAATATTTATTTTTAACATCAATGTAGTTAATATCATGAAGAAAGAGAAACCCGTAAACTGGATTGAATTTAGGCGAGTTTACCTCGAGACATTTATTCTGATTTGGCAAGAAGGTTCAACGGTCTGAAATTACGAAAAGTTGGATTCAAACACACAGACGCACATGTGTGTGTGTTTACAGGGTGCGAGAGATTGTGTTGTGAAGCTCGCGAGTAGGAAGGGATGCGTAAACAAGGAAGAGCTCGACGAAAAAAATCGAATTGTCATCTGTAAGCTTTTCAACCAAAAAAAAACAAAAATCATCATAAAAAGCGTGGTTGTTCTCAGCGTTTTCTTCCTTTTTTTTTTCCTTTTTCTTTTCTTAAATGTATATTTATTTCTAAGGAGTTTTTAAAATTTTAGAAATCCTTGTGTATTCAATTTTTAGATTTGTTAAAACTTTTAAAAGTCTTAGAGCATTCAATTAGAATTTTAAAAAGTTTTACAAAATTGTTTTATAGTAGAATTTGTTAAGACTTTTTAAGATTTGGTGAAATTTCTAAAAAAAAAAAACCTTATACGAAATCTCACTTCAAATTGCACCACCAGAGAAGTAACTGATCTCTTTACTCCCTCCTCTCGCCTTCGGCTAATGAACAAAAGTTGTTCCACTATTGGATGAATTGGGTGTTTCACGCCTTACCTATCGCTTATGCGATTATTTGATCGAACTCCGATCTTGTGAGTTGTATGACATACCGCATGCACGTTGCCCCCCATGTTGATCCTTTTAGGGTTCACTTGTTTATCAAATAATCTATTCAAAATGAGTTTTTTTTTGTTAACCAGAGTTAATTTCGAAAAATTTGGTATGATTAGTTGTTAGTGAGATTTTAAGAATGTATTAAAATAATATTTAAAATAAAATGATTATTACTGATTTGATGTAAAGTAGGAGATAAATTATTAAAAATGATAGGCAGTTAAAATTATGTGAGTAGATGAATAGTGAATTAAAGTTGATGTGATATGTAAGAATGATTGGTTTATATTATTTAACTATATAAATAATATTAAGAATAATGGGTGGAGTTAAAGTTGAGTTAGATTTTGAATATAAAATAAATATTAACAAATTGTTTAATAACACAAGTATGCCCTTAAGGGAAGATTCGATGCTACATGTAGGGCAGTGCCCCCACATGCTTTTTCACCTTTGATTTGCACACATTCACACACGCACCCATGTGGGTGTGTGTGAATCAAAGGTGAAAAAGCATGTGGGGACACTACCTCCACATGTAGCATCGAATTTATCGCCCTTAAGCACCTTGGGACCTCATGGCTCTCATCCCACCTCCCGGCTCCACATTGTTCAAGTCCAAGAAAGAACTATCGAATAATTATTATACAATATAAAATACAATTTATTATTACTCATATATTTTAACTTGTTGACATCCGAATTTGCCCCCAAAGAAAACCGGACAAGGCAACCTCAAGAGCCGGACCGGGGACTCGGCCGAGCGCATTGGTGCCGAGCTGGGCTCCGAAATTTTTTGACCCTGACATCCCCATGAGTCCGTCCGTTAGCCTGGCGTTTGCGAGGTCGAGTTCCGGTGCCGACCAGTTCTGGCGCCGGCCTGACGAGTGATGACCTGGAGGAAGGTTCCCCAGAACTGGGGGAGCAAAAAAGGAAAAGGTGCAGACCTGGGGTCTCGGAACGGGCCTCCAATGAGGAATGCCGATCTCGATAATAGTATAATAATGCCACTTGGAGAGTAATCATTGGTGATTGGATGGGGCATCCTAGTCTGCTGACCTATCTCCTCTAGTCAAGACATAAAGCCTGCCAGCATTAAATGACCCCCATGTGTGCATTAAATGTCTGCCAGACAATTAGACATGTCCACGGGTCGAACCGGCCCGGACCCGGACCGAACCCGGCCCGGCCCGAACCGGACCCGGCCCGGAGAAGCCGGTTTTCAAACCGGAACCGGACATCTAAAGGGCCGGTCCCGGGCCTTTTCGGTCAAAAAAAAACCCGGCGGGCCGGGCCCCGGTCCGGGCCGGTCTCACTCCACACACCTCACTCACTATCTTCATCTATCTCTCCCAAACTCCCACACTCTCTCAATCTCTCTAATCTCTCCATTACTCCATAATAATATCTCTCCCTAATCTCTCTCCCACTTTAATTAAAAAAAAAATATATATCTACTTAATTTTTAATATAAATTTTACCTAATCTCTCTTCCTCTCCCTAATCTCTCTTCCTCTCCCTAATCTCTCTTCCTTTTTGTTTTTTTGTTGTATATTATTTTTTAAATTCAAAATGTCGAGCTTTTTTGGTCGTGGCCGTGGTTCGAAGTCCGGGCCCTCCGGGCAAAAGCGGCAACGGGAAGGCGCATCGTCGTCGACACCTCCATTGCCCTCATTTGCGAATCCAACGATACATGTAGATGTCCCGGGCGTGACCGACGATATAGATGCCGCCACAATCGATCAAATGTTCGATTTCGTTCAGCCTCCACCCTCACACGAGGTGGGCCCAGAGCAGCCGTACGAGGACCATCTCGACGATCTATTTGGAAGTACTCCTCCGGATGAGCAGCCACAACAACCCACACAGCCGGTCCGAGTTGTCGGGGGCGGTAAAGTCAAAACTCGGGATTCCGTCATGTTCGACCGACATTACACGAAGGCTCCAAATGAAAAGAAAGGAGGTGATCCTTATTTTCTGGCTATTTGCAACTACTGTCCGGCCAATTCGAAGACGAAGTATCAGTTCAAAAAAGGCGACGGGTACGGAACGTTGACCCGACATTTGAAGAATGTTCATCCGACAGTAATGGGAATCGACACGGCACAGACGCAATTCCCAAGTAGCAGCGGAGCATCCGCCTCAGCCACTCAAGGTGCAGGTACGTCTTCTTCTTTATTTCATTATTCTCATGAAAATCATAGACGTCATTTAGCTGAATTTGTTTCTGCTTCGTCTCTTCCTTATAGTTTTGGTGATAGTGATTTATATGAAAATTTTGCTCAAATGGCTTTAAATCCGTCTGCCAACCGAGTTCCTCGTACCACCCTTACTCGCGATATTCGAAAAATCGTGAGTGAGAAGAAACTAATTTTAAAAGAAAATTTTAAATCTTTAAATCATAGAGTATCCATTTGTGCTGATATATGGTCCGATCATTGGATAAATAATTTTTATTTAGGGATTACTTGTCATTGGGTTGACGATAGTTGGACTTTACAAAAACGTTTAATCGGTTATGTTGCATTTCATGAACGACACACTGCTTCTAATATTGCTCGTTTAATTTCAAAAATCTTAGATAATTATAGTATTGGTAAAAAAGTATTTTCAATTTCATTTGATAATGCGACTGCAAATACTGCATCTATACGTGAATTAAATGATGTTTGTACACCAATCTGTGGGGGTAGATTTTTTCATATTCGTTGTATATGTCATGTTTTAAATTTGTGTGTTCAAGCTGGTTATCATGTTTTTAAGGATTCTGTAAAGCCAATAAGGGAGGCCGTCAATTATTTGCATAAACGTCCCCAAGAAATGAAAGCATGGGGACGATTTTGTAAGAGTGTTGGAATTAAACCTAAAAAATTCCAGCCAGACGTGCCTACCCGGTGGAATTCAACATTTAAAATGTTGAATGTCACCGCTGATTATGCCAAGCATTTACAGGATTTTTTTAATGATACAAACCGTAGGGATTGTGATGTTCGACTTTCGGTGAATGATTGGGCAAACTGTTCGCAACTTACAAATTTTTTAGAAACATTTCAAAACGCTACTAATATTCTTTCTGGTGTTTACTATCCTACTGCTCAACTTGTGGTCAGTCAATGTATAGCTATAATGTGGGGTTTTAAAGATATTTATGACTTAGATCCTTTTAAATATTCTGGTCTAGTAGAAAATATGTTAGAAAAATGGCTAAAATATTATTACTATATTCCCGATACATTTTTAATTGCATGTCTGTTAGATCCTACAGTTCGTGAGCAAGGTTTGTTAAATCAACTTAATATGTACTATGATTATATGTATCAATTGCCACTGCCGAGTGGGGTCCCGACTTACAGGGACAAACCTAACATACCGCAGCTCGTCGAGCAAGCAAAAAATTCTTTGTATGACATGTTCAAGGAAACAGCGATCGCACATGGAGAGTCTCCCAGCACATTTGTTCGTAGCAGCGGCGCAAGCGGCAGCGGGTCTTCATCTTCGTACGGAGGGCAAAGCGGCAATACAAACTTCGGAAACTTCAAAGTGTTTTGGGATTCATTAAATCCCTACAAAAACTCGGGCGGTCAAAGGGTGCAGGGGACTGGATACTATGAGCTGGATCACTACCTTACGTCGAATTTAGCCGTTACGATTGCACGTCCACCTCAACCGCCACTCAATTTCGATGTGTTAGATTGGTGGTCAAGAATGGGAGGAATTTTTCCTATTCCATGCATTATGGCCAAGGAGATCTTTGCTGTCCCAGCATCTACAGTCGCGGTTGAGCAAGCATTCAGTGAGGGCGGCTACATGCTAGATCCACGACGGTCGAGGATGACGCCTGATAATCTTCAAGCACAAATGTTACTGAGTGATTGGAAGAAGGCCGAACGAAGGATGCAAACTGCTATGCTCACTTCGAATGAGGAGGAGGACGACAACGACGATGCATCCGATTTTACGTCGTCGACAAGTGGAACCGGGGGGGACGTCGAAGACGAATACGAATATTAAAGGTATGCAGCCAAGGTATGTGATTTAGAAGAACTACGTGGACTTTGATTCCCAAATAAAGGGATACGTAGGCACCTTATTTAACATTATTAAGTTCGAGTATAATTTTTTGGCAACAAAATTTTTCATCGTACACGATATTCGAACTTAATAACTGTTAACTAAGCTCAAGTCCATTACATTAATAATTTTTTTCTTTACACTTATTCGACTTCATTTGACGTACAATTTAGCATTTCTAAACTACCTCAAGTTGTACTTCTCCGCCATACTCAATAAAATACAACACCGTTAACCGTTTGGTTCCAAGAATTGACGCCCGATCATTATTTTTGTTTCATTTTGAAATGATATAGACAAACAGACTCAAAAACTTATATTTTCGAAGTATATACAAACTATTTATTCAAATAAACATTAATATACATTAAAATAACAAAAAAAGTAAAAAAAAAAAATTAATAAACCCGCCGGGCCCGACCCGGAACCGACTCGACCCGCCGGGTTTGCGACCCGGCGGTTAAGGGCCGGTTCAGTGAACCGGCCCTTAGTTACAAGCGGGCCGGGCCCGGTTCACTACACGGTGAACCGCCGACCCGGCGGGCCGAAACCCGGCCCGGCAAATGGACACGTCTACAGACAATGATGAGGAAAACCTCAAATCGCATTGAATTCTGTCAGGGGGCGCCGGACTGCTCTGCAAGAACACTGTACGACAAGACTGGTGAACAGTACCTGAATAGTGTCACATTTAAAGCCACTATAAATAGCAGCCCACTTCATTTAATTTGGGTTGTTGAATCTCAACTGTCTGAATTCTCTCTACTTTCTCTCTCTAGATTCGTGTAATAACTTTGTAAGAATCTGTAAAGATACTGCAAGTGCCGACCCCGTACGAGAGGCCGACCTCGCAATCGATCAATAAAATCATAATTAAACCATATTTTTTTGTTTTTTCCTCATTACCTTTTTATTGCTTATCTTTTTAACCGTTGACCGGAAACGTCCGTCAACATAACTATCAATCATTTATAATTAATATTATATTAATTTTTTACCCATAATATTGTATCTCGTATGAGTAATACTATATGTATAATAATGTACATAGAGGTGTACATAACACTCACATTGAGTGAGTCCTACAAAAAATAAAAAATTAAGTAGACCAGTGTTATGTATACCTCTATGTATATTTATTATGTACTTGTAGCATTTTTCATCTCGTATATATATTTATAAAAAATAATTCATTCATCCAAAACTTATCTACTTTTATTTTTTCATCGCTTTTACTGTTAAAACTTAAAACAGTTTTTATTTGTAAAAAAAAAATCTATCTATATCTAGTTTCAAGTTTCGCCAACTGTATATCGAAACCTGTGTCACGTTAACCCCAACATTTCCTCTTAATTCAAGAGTTGCCTCGAATTTCTCTATCTCGCTAAAGTTGCCTGTGCAATGGAAGAATCTTTCACCAATCTTCCCAGCAGCCAGCTTCCTGGCTCTGTCCCGGTACGCGATTATTTTCGCAGTCGCTATGTAGCTTGAATGTATATGTGATTAAAAATTATGATTATTTGTTCGTGGTAGCTTTACCTAGAACTATGATCAGGTGAGCATCAATTTGGAAGTCATTTTGCTGTAATTTTACCAGAAATGTGGAAGTTTTACCAATTCAATTTGCAGTTTGCCCAGAGAAGAAAGTTCATGAAATCGCAGTGTTTCTTTTCAATGTATTTTCTCTTCTCTTGAGTCATTGTAATTTGTATTTTCATTATCAGGATTTTGTTTATTTATTTTTTTTGTCCAACCTAATGTGTGCAGTCTATTGATCGATGACTGTCTAAGTTTGTTTATTCTGGTCAGTTATTTGCAACCCTGTGCTGTTGAATTGTAGGTTCCATTTATTGGGTGGTTAGGTACTTAGGTTCAGTTTACAAGCACTCTTTTGTTCAGAATGTTACAAGCATAGAGAAAAAGGAAATTTTTTCTTGATCATATTTGTTCACACTATTATTCTGTTGACTCCAGTAGTAATTCCACGTACCAAGTGTTTGTGTTCGTCCTTTTCATTTTGGGATGGTATTAGTATAAAACGTGTGAGCAATGTCATAAATGGTAGCTATTTATTGAAGATTGCTTTTTTATATTCAATGTGAATGACGAGTTCCAGAGGATTTTTAATTAAGTACAGGTCTTAATTTTACCGAGGTTATTGCTTTTCTATCCGTGCAGGCTGTGGTTAGTGAAGGCAACAAAACTACTAACCAAGAAGGTAAGTATCTAATGAATAGTTTAATTTTTCTATTTATTTTATTTTATTTGACATATGATTTAATTTATGTGAATTCCATGTAGTTACAGGTGCAAACCTGCAAATATTTCCTCCCAATAGTCAGGGATATCAAACTCTCGGTGCTCCCAGTGGTATGTAATAGAACTAGTGTTCTCTCTCTTTTCCCTTTTATTATTTATTCTTTGCTTTCAAGTCAGGGAACATAGGTCACTTAACTATCTCATCTTGGACTTGGTTTGTTTCAAATAAGCACTTATGATGTGACCTTACTTTAATGGTGTATATCACTTTGTTCCAAACCAGGTGACAACTTGAATGGTATACTTTTTTTTTTTTTTCTGTATGAGTGAAATAGCCATTTTCAAGTTAATACTATATGCACTCCCTTGTGCATCACTCATCACTACCTGATTTGTACGAGAAAAAGAGATGTCACGGGCTTTTGATCTTATATTTTTGCCTTTTTCAAGAAAGTCCTGCTACCTGGTCGAAATACTGATAGCGAATTGAACTTTCTGTTTAAGTGTTATTTTGTAGTCCTATTCATGCTTTAACTTTGCTCAGTGTTACCTCTTTCTGGTAAATAGAAGCCACTTTTTATTTANAAAAATTCTTTTATGTAAACACAATTAAAATTACTAAACTATATTCAATAATTTATTTTCCATAAGTTCTATTATTATGGGTAGGTTACAAAATCCTTGTGTTCTCTTTAAGTGCTGTTGATATGCTTTTGTTGCCCCTACTATAAGTCTTTTAGAAGGCTCAATGTGTTCTTTTGTACCTTACATTTTTGTTCGAACTTTATTGTTGAACGTGGTAAATATGCATAGAAGTAATACACATTTTTTGGAAATGAAAATCTGGCCATCAATGTATAGCATTTAGTTAACAGTGCGTGGTGTGGCTCGCCACAAGAGAAATCCGTGCTCTATTGCTGTATCCTTGCTCCTTTTCCTAAATGATGGATGGCGTGCTTTTTTTTTCTTTTTTTCTTTTTTGTCTTTTGTCTTTTTTGCTTTACTTATCTTGTACGAAGAAGCATACGTGTTTTTACAACACATACAGAAAAATTACACCACACACACACCCACAGGAATTGAGTAAGGTACTGCTTGTCCGGGAAAAACACCTAACACCTCTTGGCTTGACGTTAATTCATGATGAATGGCATACTTTTAACTCTTAAAGCAAGATGCATTTTGTGTACTTTTATGGTGATATTCACTCTTCCGGGGTAACCTTAATGTTATTTTTTATGGTGAAATGTTTGTTAACACAGGTCATTTTTCTGTAATAAATTCCAATGTTATTCCCTGCTTGCTACAAAATGCTATTGCTCAAACAGCTGATGTTGTGTTACATCTAACATGCGCAGATGGAGGTGGACAACAGCCGACAAACAATTGGAAGGGACTGCTTAGCATCTCTTCATACACTCAATATTTTAATGTAGACACAGACATCGTACTCAACAGATTGATCAGTTCTTTGTATCCTTCAACAGGAGATTTTGTGAGCAAAATCGATGCAAACCCTGACCTGTAAGTTGATTGAAGATGAAATAAACCCATTTCTAGAATAGTGGACTTGACCCTGGTTGAGACACCTCGAATATAAGTTAATTTTAGTCTGGAAAAGGGGTTCTGATGCATTCTCTTGGAAATATAATCAAATAGCAAGAATATGGGCCAAAATCAACCAAGTCAATTATGGAGACTGTATTTTTATTTTATTTTTTTACTTGTTTATTTGATTGACAGTGTGAATGAAAAGTTAAATTTCCTTTCCTTTTGGAGTTGGTTAGTCTTAAGTGATTAGCTAATTTGACTTCTCTCATTTTTTAGTGCACTACTTGAAATGTCCATGTAAAGAGGATCTCTTGGTTAAATAAGATAAGCTAGAATTAAGAGAAAAAGAATTGTAGAAGGAAAACTCCAGAAAATTTATAGTTTGTCTTCTGTTATTCCTAATCTCCACACTTTTATCTTCTTTCTAAAGCATAGATAATTGAAATTCATCCTCTAACAACTATGATTACTCATTGGTGTAAGTTTTTGCTAAAGAACATAGTAGTCTCCCTTGTAAAATATTGATGCTTTTATCCCGTGAACACAGATATGAAAGTTAATTTATATTTATTTTCAATGTAAGAAGTGTGAAGGTTATACTAAAAGAAATCAGCCTTTTCTTTGTGTTCTTTTTGAGCTGTAGTCTACAGGCATTTTAACACGTCTTTGTTGTATCTAAGCACCCCACGTGTCTTTGAAAATCTGCTTGAGTACTCCCTCACGAGCTATAGATACTCATGTAAAATAACCTTAGTCTTTTTTATATTCTACGCCAATTCGTACTGAATATCAATAGCTGAATTAACTTAGGATATTTTTTATGCTTGCATTTGGAATTTACAACTGCTGAGATTCATTATATCTGTGATGCTTATTCAATAATATGCAGTGTATTACTTCTGGTCCTTACTGGAACTTGTAACGATCTTCTAAAGTTTGTTTCTCAGAAAGTACAGGATATTCTGTAATTATGGCACTCTGCCATTTAGTGGTAGAAGGAGAAAACATGAGAATAATAGTGTAGTTAAGCTGCTTATATATTTTTGGAAGCATGTAAACTCACTCATGTCTGCAGAATGATGATTGTTTATTGGGGATAATACATCTGTATGTATCATTCAACTTTGAACTTGAAACATATGATTTGGAAAAAGGACAACATAGTGAGATTTTCTGAAAATATGTCATCGATCTACCTTTTTTTTTCATTCCGTTAGTTCGTTGTTGCTATTAGATCTATCTATTCGTTGTTATCACTTATAAGCAACATAACAGGATCTCGATATTTAGACAACAAATTTTTTCGCCCTCACTATAACTTTCCTCT